CCCCAAAACCCCAAAACCCCAAAACCCCAAAACCCCAGAAAGAAACCATTTAACTATAAAAAGATTTGAAACATATATAATAATTAAAATAATTTGAATTAAATGCTGAGAGAAAAGAAAAAAGTATCGAATTCATTTTTAAAGGACAAAAAAAGACTGGCCTGGACACTATATGCCATCCTCAAGAACAATGTGATTAGTGGACCGTTCCTATATGTGCTTTTGTTTGTTGAAAATTTTGAGTTAATTCTCATGTTTTTGGCCTTTGCCTCACAGTTCAAACAAAATGATCTATAGTCGATTAGTTCAAATATCAGAGAAGTATTTACTGACATAAACAATTTTGTGAATATGATGCTTGAGAATATAAGTTTCAACATATACTTCTAGACTTTCTTCATTTGCTTTGTGATTTGCAAGAACGTATACATTTACTCATCACTGGTATATATTGCATACCACAATGATAGTCCAGAAAAGGCAAAAAAATCAAATGCTATTGCTAAGACATTATCTTTTATGTTTTAGTTTGTAAGCAAGGTGATGTTCACTCCTAAAATGATATTTCTGTTCTACTTCTTCAGGAATACTTCCCTTGATACTGTGAGCCTAATCTTGCTTTATATTGGAAATTTCCTTGCAATATCAGCTTCTGTATTCTTAGAGATAGTTCTAACTCCTATCGTTAACATTAGAGTAAATATGCCGGATGAATTGCCTTGGTGCACATCTAAGTCATTTATACCTTATTTTAAATCATTATTTAAGTTATCTTAAGCGGTATGTCTCGTGATTAAAATACCTAATTTAGCTATTGTTATTTTGCTTTTGATCCAAGGAATTAATCTTGCTAGTGAAATACTACTTTTGCCATATCATAATAAGATAGTTGGATCTATTAAAGTTTATGGATCATCAGTTTTGTTCACATTATATTTAATCTTAAGTCTTGAGCTATTGATTGACTTTAATTATGAAATTACTATTGTTGGATTCGTTCTTTCCTTTATAATTCCAATATTCTTTTTTCAAGTTAAGTATTATAGAATGAAAACTTTGAGACATAAATTATTTGATTTTTAACTTAAGAATCCCTCAGAAATTGAACTTGCTTTTACTTTGTATGCTAACATTTTGGTTAAAGCTCACTAAAATCCAGAAGCATTAAAAGAACTTAATGGCATCTTATTGATACACAAGGATTAATGTAGTAACATAAATACTTGCTATTGTCAGACATATGATAAAGCTCTTTAAGCAAACAAAGCTTTAAATATGTTTCAGCATAATAAGTTCACAAAACACAAAAATAGGACAAGTAACACAGATAGACAAAATATTATTTAAAATGAAGAATAAAAGGAATATAGTTAATAATAGTCTAATGTAGATAGCTAGTTGAGCTTCAATGAAAAAAATAATTTAACAGTAAAAGGAGTTGGCAGTATAAACACTAATCATCTCTTGAATAGAGATATAGAGCTCATTTAAGAGGAGCTTAGATTTTACAAATAGGGCATTATAAATCCTATCTTCAATGGAGAATTCCCATATTCACAAATAAGAAACGATAGAATAAATAACAAAGCAGGAAGAGAGGTTTTTTAATAATTACCTGATGATATTTAATACCTTTTAAAGCCACAAGATGAAGATGAGGAAAGCCACTGGGATTTTTTGAATTATTAACAGATAAAACACCAAACAATCACTCATATTATATATGAGAAAGTGAGGTACTACAGTGATTATTACCCAAATAACATCAGAATTTTAATGTTTAAGGCTTACTTTGAGCTATTTGCAATGAGGAAAAAATATCTTAGTCATCAAACACTAACTAAAATGACATCACTTAAGCTTGGTTTTATAAATAATACCATGTTCCTCATAGACCAATAATTCATGATTGAATATGCAACAAAGTTGTACTAGAATAAAGATGACTAGATGCTTGATATTGAAAAGATAATTATGAATAATAGCGCATTTCAAGATTTTTATGATTTTAACAAAGAAACCTCTTTCCTTCTGAATAGTTTTTGGTCTATGCTAGCAAACTAATAAAACACTGATATCGAGACATTGTATAAAAGTGGGGAATAAACATCAGATATGATTAAAAAAACTAAATAAAAATTCAAAGAATTGTTAAATCTTGGGATAGACAAAAGAAATGTAAGCTTGTACTACCTATATGCAAACTTTAATAAGTATGTACTAAATAGCGGAGACTTGTACTCTGAATATATTCATAAGATGGAGTAGATAAAGAGTATGAATAAAACCATCAAAGAAAATTATAAGGATAATATCATTTCTGATGTTGACAAATCAGGCTTCTTGGTAGTAAATGGAACTTTTGAGAATTTTGGTAAGATATTATTCGCCAATAAGAAACTATGTATTATACTTGATTACCTACCAGAGCAATTGATAGGTAAAGCCATTAATATACTTATGCCCTAGATAATTTCTGATAAGCATCATCTTTTTTTAGATTAATTTAGAGAGACTGGATAAACAAGATTGATTTAAAAACCACAGGCTTTATTTATGAAAAATTAGGAAGGATATATACTGCCATGTAAAGTTTTTATTAAATTTCACTATGATAAAGTCTATGGTCACGTGTTTTGTGCAGTAATCAATAAGACTAAGTAGCTTTATCCGTTTAATAATAAAAAGAAACACAATTTCAATGAAATGATGACTATTATTACAGATGATCATGGAGTAGTATCAGAAATTAGTAAATCAGTAACTAATTTCATTGGAATACCAGTATCAATAGTTCAGTAAAACCAGAAATTTTCTTAAGACAACATGAAGATATATCATATAGTAGATATAGACATTGCAAAATTAGATTCAGATATTAATCGTGAGATTCAAACTTCAATTAGACCTGAATTTTAATGTGACTCTGAAAATGGCCTTGTAAATTCCCTAGTCATCATGAAAAGTTAAAAATTAAACATGGAATAAGATTAATACTTAATGATGAAAACAATGATAGATTCTCCTAAAATAGATATTCGTGTTAAAATGTGCAAGGTGAATCATAATAACATTCTTACATTGAGATACTTTTTTATCGAGTTAATAGCTAGCTAAGACTAAGCAGATCCAAATAATATTGAAATAGAATTGTAATAGGACTATAAAGAACCTCAAATCAGGATTGAGAAATAAGATACTAAAAATGATATATAGTTATTTATTGACGAAAGAAGCGGCAGTTCCACCAGCAGTAGTAATTCAAGGAAACTTATAAATGAATTCATTGAAAAAGATATTGATTAGATTATAAGGAATGATAGCAGGACACCAAAGATTCTCAAACAGATTATTGTTTTAGTCTTACTACTCTTATTTTCAATCACAGTAATTAGCGCATCAATTCTAGGACTTTACATAAAAGAATCATCTAATTCAAAGCAAAATATTTAAAATCTTGGAAATTCATTCGAAAACATGATCATTACTTCTTATGTAATGAATCTTTTAAGATCAACTATTAACTTTAATATTGGAATCGAAAATAAGGCACTTTTATCTTAGAATATGATATGGAAATCTAAATTTTAGGACTAGTCATTTGCATACAATGATTTTATTAGAACAATTATAATCGAAAAGTTAGGAGAAATATAAATTAAGTAAAAATAAATTGACAATATAGATCTTAGAAGATTAAAAAGTAATTAGGATCTATATGAAAGATATAAGAAATTAAGAGACGAATTACAATACTCCTATATTACTTCAAATGGATAGATTGAATACTAAAAGCAAGCATATAGTGTAGCAATGAGATTACTTTTAGGTAACATCTAGGATTTAATTTCAAGAATTGAAATGCTTTAGAATCAAACTCTATCTAAAAGTTTCATTTTTACCGACTATTACTCTTAATTTAACATCATGACTTAAAATCAGTCCCTAGAGTATCAAACTTTACAATAACAAATGTTTTTTGTGTTCAATAACTACATTAAATATATTGATTAGGATAATGAGGAATACACGAAAATCTATCTAAGGGCTGGAATAGACTAATCGCATGAAGAAGAAACTTAAAGAACTCTAATTATGAGCATTATCAGCATTATAACAATCTTGATAATAATCTTAGCTTTTAGTCCAATTACTCTGAAAATCAGAAAATCTAAATATTAGGTGCTTTTATTCTTTGTAGAACTTGAACCTGCTATTATTTAAGAATGCTAAAGGAAAAGTTAGGTCTTTGAGGATTAATTTTATACAGAAAAAGTATCTAAGCTTAACTTTGAGCAAGAGGAATTAGGTAAATCTCATAATATCTTGGATAACTCAAGCAATTAAAGTGCAATGATTTTTAATGAGGAAATTGATGATGCCCCACTAAATCATCCATAAATTAAAAGCAGGGACTATTATTATTAAACAGTCGATGAAGGAGGCCAAGCATTTAAAGTTAACGATGAAATAACCCGTAAAAAGCAATTGATGAATGATAAAACTCTTAAGAAACTAAGAGAGGAAAATGAAAAGAAACTAGCTAAGGCAGCAACTAAATTTGGAATATCTGACTTTGATATGAATGAATCTTAAGACTATGTTGTACCTCCATCAAAGGAGAGTTCTGGTCCCTCTGGAGAAATAGTATCATAGTACAATTAAGATTTTCTTGTTCCTTAAATTAATAGAACAGATATCATTAGAATTGGTAGAAATAAGTCAACTAATGCTTCTACAAATGATATGAGATTGTCTTAGTTTGGATAAAATAGAAAAAAATAAAAAAATGCCATGATTGATAATCAGAAAAGCCAAGAATTCAGTTATCTCAACCCAAATTTTAAAAATCTCTTACCAGATATTGAAGAGGAATAAGACGGAATAAATGATTATTAAGGTAAATAGCCATTCTACTATTATAGTCAACATGATTTCAGAAATCTCATAAAGCAGGCATAGAATGCTAAGGATAGTCCTAAATCATTCAGAAAGATAGATGAGGAATTTTAAGATGACTTATCATAAAGTGTTTAGATGAATAGCTTTTCTGAACATATTGCAGATTTCTCCCATATTAATCTCAGATAATAATCTACATAAAATGATAATAACATTAAGTAAAGTAACCAGACAATGATTCAAACTACAGAGGATTTGAATGTAAAAATCATTGCAGCAGAAAATGTGCAAGGTGAAGTAAGAATCTAGGATAAGATTTAGAATATATCAACTCACCAAAAGTCTTCGTTAATTTTATCGATGATGCTTCTTTTTCTACTTTTCTCAAGTTATTTCGTGGGAATCTATATCTTTACTGACTTAAGTACCTCTTAATTTCAGAAATCTTTTGAAGATTTAAATGTATTTTACCAAAGAGATGCTTGCATGACTAAGCTATTTTTCTTAACAAGAGAAGAATTTCAGCAAAATATAACAGCTTCAAAAGCCTAATTTAATTAAAAGGGTTTTAATACACTGTCAATGAATAAATTATGGGATTGCATCGATCTTGAGACAAATTATACCGCTATAAGGAAGAAACCAGGAAATTACTTAAAGGATGTTTAGTCAATCATGAATGATTTAGACTCAAATAGACTTTGCTTACTTATTTCTCAAAATACAAACTATACAGAGGCTGATTGTAGGAGCATTTAAAATAACATACTATCAAACGGATTAAGTCTCTATAAGCAAGAAAATACGAAATCCCTGCTAATTTCGTAGCTAGATTTCTTTTCGAGATCAGGATTTCAGAGGAATTCTACCTATATCTTATCAAAATTAAGAAATTCAAATTTCATTGATATGCTTTACAGTAACATGATGTTCTTATATGAAGTAAACATGGTTATTAATGCTAATGTTAGAGATAGCATTAAAAACTATATTGATCTCATGAATTTAGTGCATTTCGGATTATTTGCAGGACTGCAGGTCCTCTCGTTTGGACTGGCTCTTTATTTTTTTGTGTATGTGTTCAAAACAATGAGGAAGGATATGCTGAGTTCCCATACTATGCTGGCAATGCTTCCCAAATAGCTTTTGGAAAAGTAATAATAGATAAAAATTAAAGAATTCCTAATTGCATGAAGATTATTTTCAATTGATATTCGATTAATTTTCAAAGCTGAAATAGATTTTTTTTTGAATTCATGGGGTTTTGGGGTTTTGGGG